AGAGAGAACAGATGATACAAGAAATTGAGGTTGAGAAGAGTGAGTGTTGTTCAAGGAACTCTTGTCAAATGGTTGGATCTTTTCAGTCTTGTAGGAAATGAACAGGGAAGTTTGAAACCAATCTTGTGAGGAATCAAATAAGGTGCCAAAATATTACACAACAGAGGATCCTAGGGCTTAATAGAGAGTGATGTGGATTGGTGGTGACTTTCTCTAGCATCCTTCAGCAACTTAGTAACGGCAGTGGAGTTGACCAGGCATTTTCAGAGTATAAAGTGTTAGACATAGCAAATCACATGAGGTTTAAGAATCCCTGATACTAAGCTGGCTCAGCTAGTTAAGAGTGTGGTGCTTCTAACACCCAGGTCCAGGGTTCAATCCCTGTACCAGCCAGCAAAAAAAAAAATCTCTGGTACTAGCAGATGCATCATTGAAATGGCTACCAGGGGTCCAGGTGGAGCATGGAGGGCAATGATTTTAGCAGCAGAAGGCAGTGGGTGAAGGTGATGGCTTTCCAACTGCATTGCCTAGCTTTTTATGGGAGGCCTCTGGGATCTCCCATTCCTACCTCAACTACAGTAGCTGTTTTTTTCTGGGATACAAAGGCATCCCTTGTATTCTTTCATTTGAAGGGGGGGAAAAGTCTGTTGCTAAAAGTAGTTTGAAAACCACTAGACTAAGAGACAAGAGGAAATGGGACTAGAAGTCATAAGGAGGAGAAAGTTAGATTGTAGGGACTGGGAAAGATGGCTGATAAGGGGTATGTGATCAGTGAGGGGGATTCAGACATTGAGATCTTGGAGATCTATCCATTTTGAAGGAAGATGGGGTCAGCACGGGGCTATGCTGGCAGACAGCTGAAGTCAGGTGGAATTACTAGTAACTGGCATTGAGAGCTGAAGAACGTAAGGCCAGCACATCGGAAGGGGGCCACCATGATGTCAAAGATGCTGAGGATGAGGGAAAGCTACAGGTTAGAGGAGCAGACAAAGAGCCAAGTCCAGAAGTCAGCAAGGAAACAGGAAGGGATTTTGAAAAAGTAGAAAACTATGGTTTTGAAGATGAGACAGAGCAGAAATAAGTGCATTGTATGGAATTTTAAATAGGAGCAGGTTGAGGTAAAAGCTGCATCTGGGAAGTGGGGGGAGTGAAAGAAAAAGGCTTGTGCTTAGAGAGGGTTTTGAGGTCTATGGTGTCATCAGATTTCAATTAAAGTAAGGGAACCAGAAGACCTATTTTGGAGGAAGTGACAGTCCAGCAAAGGACCCTACGGGGGTTTCTCACAAACAGCACAGGTGGCTGGATCCCGTGGGCAGGGCTGAGAGAAAGGCTTCCAGGACCAGAGTGGCCCTTTCATGACCTGGGTTGGCGATGGAAATAAGACAGAGATGTGGGGCTGGAGGCTGAGATGAGTATCGGAGAAATGAATGAAAAGAAACAAGGTAGGCTGGGGACCCCACACTAAAGAGCAAAAAGGAGACCAAATTTGGGGGTAGGAGGAATTCACAAAGTTTAAATGACTCCAGTGTGCCAACCCAATGCTAGATTAAGGTAGAGGACCAGCACAGCCTCACCACTCTAGGGGCCAGACTTAGATTAATTGTTTTTTTAAAGCTGAAGTTCAGATTGATTGTAAAAAGTCAGTAAAGCTCAGACACAGATGGCTAAGGTTGAAAAAACATTAGACCAGCTAGCCCAACTCCCCTTCTCCTATACAGGATACAGACACACACAGATATGAAATGATGTACCCCAAGGTCCTCCAGCTGGTGCTTAGTGGTGGTGCCAGAGCTGGAACCCACATACCCTGACCCCAAGGCCATCGTCTTCCTACAGCCTCCACAGTGGTCCCTGGTTTGAGGAGTGGGTGGGGGCATAAAGGGGCCACACTGGTGTTATGACTGAAATGTGACAGATATTGGGAGATTCATTTATTTGTTCAACTCTGGCTACATTTTTTGCTAGAAGACCAAAATTTAACCTCCTACCATTGCCAATGAGCTTTTGTTCAGAAACATGATCTATTTTGGAAATGCTGGTATTCCTGGTGCTTGCTCCAACCTAAAGTCATTCTTTTTTGTGTTTTTTCCTCTAGTTTCTTTAGCCTCTAGCACAGTGGGATTGGCTGGGCAGGTTGTTCACACAGAAACCACGGAGGTCGTGCTAACAGCAGATCCTGTCACAGGATTTGGGATCCAATTGCAGGGCAGTGTCTTTGCCACAGAGACCCTCTCTTCTCCACCTCTGATTTCCTATATTGAAGCTGACAGCCCAGCAGAGAGGTGAGACGCTTTCTCTCACAGCATCATTTTCTGCTCGCATTTCTGGTGCTGGCTATCTTTGAATGGCTAATAAATTATGGAACAGTGCTCAATGCAGGAAATGCAAGGTGTAATGAACTCTCTGTTCTGACAATAAACTTTTATGTTCTTGAGAAGAATAATGAGCACGGATGCCTTTATCTAGCAGATTTTGTCCATCAAGGGACCAGCAGCAATATTAATTAAAAAGGAGAAAATCCAAACAAAATCTGAAATTCAAACTTTAATGAATTCTCTGCTATGGGGGAATGTAAATTCATCATTACTATTTATTGGTTTAGATCAGATGCTAACAGTATCATGGTTATGAATTATTAATTACTTCTCTGGGATATGTCAGGATTCCCTTGCTCACAATTGTAACCATGAAATGCAAGAGTGCAAGACATTGCAGTTGACCTAGTATGATGCCACAGCATTGAACAAACAGGACTGAATGGATAAGCTATTTTGCAGGTATCAAACAAGGTAGATTTGGCAAGCTCAACTTGATGATTTACTCTACCTACAACCTCTAACATGTGGTTCTAAATTAGATGTGGGGTGCTGCAGATTGGAGACAGAGTGATGGCCATTAATGGAATTCCAACTGAAGACAGCACCTTTGAGGAAGCCAATCAGCTCCTTCGAGATTCTTCAATTACAAGCAAGGTCACACTGGAAATCGAGTTTGATGTTGCAGGTATAATCATATAATCTCAAGTCAGCAGCAGAGTCAGGAGTGGACTGCATGTGAATTATATTAGTTATGTGGCAGAGAGGGAACTATTTTTTTATATACTGAACATGTTTTTGTTTAGGAGGTTTGATATGTCATTTTTGAATTGAGCATTGTTTTTGTATTATTCATTAAAATGTCACCATGGGAACAACTGAAAATAAATGTGACAAATTGAATAAGTAACAGCCACTATAGAGATGATTTTAAAAAACATCATGTACCCTTTATTCTTTCTGACTTTCCCCTACATGCTGGAGAAACCATATTCTTCAATCACAAAGACAATAAAAACCTTTCTCTGACCCTTCCCACTGCAGAGAACATATGAAACTTCTTTAGAGAGCAATGAAAATGTGTTAGGTGGATTTATACAAGCCCAGTAGGTAAATATTTGGTATTTAATGTTAAAGAGAAATTGTACCAGATACTTGTTAAAAGTGACAAAAAAGACTTTATTCAAGACTATTCCAGTAGGGTTCAAGAATATTGCAATAGGGGAGAAAGACTGAACTCAAATCCAGATACAGCCAGGGCAGCTGGGATTTATAGCCAGCGGGCAAGGTGAATGTGAGGGAGGCTTTCGATGGAAAATTACTTGAACTTGATTAGATATCAAACGTGGGGGGATTCTCACTAAACTGGCTCAGGAGGATTCTTGCTAAAACTGGGGTCAGAGGCCAAGGACTAGGCCAGGGACAAAACCTAGTCAAAAAGATGGCTCAGAGGAGCCTAACTAAAGTTTGGTCATAGAGGTTGTTCTAGTCAGAAGCTAACAAGTGTGTGGATTTTAGAGGTTGGTGTAAGTTCTCATTTAAGAAAGTTGTCTTCACACAGTGAAATGCCACCCCACAGACCCAGTGACCTTTACCAATCAGTAAAGATATGCCTTTGGACACAGGGATTGCATTATTCCAGCAAATATTTGCCGAGTTACTCCTCTACACAATGTAGATGTGACAGCAGACAGGAAAGAAAGAAAAAAACCTGTCTTCATGAAACTTTTATAGCAGCACAGAAAGTTAATTTGAAAATTATCAAATATAAATTTAGATAATAGTAAATGCTCTAGGAAAATAAAACAGGGTAGGGGGTTAGAATGCCTGTGGAGGAGCTATTCCTATAGAATGATTCCTTGGAAGGAAGTAGCATTTGAGCAGAGATTTGAAGGTTGAGAAGGAGCCAGCCACACGAGGCTCTGGGAGGAGAGCATTCCAGGCAGAGGGTGCAGACAGTATAAAGAACCTGAGCCAGAATAGAAGCTTGGTGGAGAAATAGCAAAAAGAGCTGTTGCTGGAGCATGTAAGAGCTTTGAGGGTAGGGATTGAGTTTGGATTTGGAGATGGGGTTGGAGAGATTGGAAGGGGCCTAGTAGTGCTGTGCCCTGGTGAAGAATTTAGATTCTATTCCCCATGTAAGGAAGCCATGGAGTGTTTTATGCAGCAGACTGAGATAATCTGATGAATGTTTTAGAGAAATCCTTCTGAAATGTAAGAGGGAAATAGCAGAAACAGAAAAACCAGTTAGGAGATCGTGGCAGTTGGACAGGTAAGGTATGATGGTGGCCTGACAAGGTGGTTGTGCTAGAGGTGGTGACAAATAGTGAAATTCAGGAGATGGCTTGAAGCAGGGCTAACAGAACTCACTAATGAATTGGATATGGAGGATGAGGGGAAGAGAAGATCGTGGGTGACTCCTGAGAGGTGAGAGTAAGCAATTGGGTAGATACTGATGTCTTTAACTGAGACTAGAAAAGTGGAAATTTGGGGATAGCAAAAAGTTCTATTTTAACATGAGTAGGAGAATCCACTGCCAATACTAGGGGAAAAAAACAAGCACATTCATTCCTTAATTCAAAAGACAGTTACTGAACCCTAGTTACTAAGTGCGAGGCACTGTGCTATGTTCAGATCACTGAAAGAGAAAATAGAAAAGATCAATGTCCTTAAGGAGCTCATAGCCAAAGAGATAAGAGAAAGAATTGCTGGAAGATAAGAATAGACTTGGTGAATTTGTGCTGCCACTAGAATGCAGAAGAAAGTGCTCAGGAAAATGCAGGCAGTACCTTCTGGAGCCTGCGACTGGAGCCTGCGACTGGGGTCTGGGCTAGGACCGAACAGCGACCAACATTGGGAAAAATTAAATCACTAAGCAAAGACTGGCAGTAGCAGGAGACTGAGGAGGGACTCTGCCTGAAGAATACTAAGATTTAAAGGGAAAAGATGCCAGCAAAGGAGTTAAAGAAAATACAGTATGAGAAGTGAGAGGAGAACCAAAAGAAGGTGGCATTTCAGAAACCAAAGAAAGACTTTCAAGGCAAAAGTCAAGATCAATAGTGTAAATGTGCTGCAGAGAATTCCAGTAGCATAGGACAGGAAATGTCCTTTGGATTTGGCCATTAGAAAGAAAGACATTGCCAGAGTAGTTTCAAGGGAATGAGGGGCAGAAGTCGGATGGCAGCGAGCTGGGAGTGAGTGAAGCGTGAAATGTACAGACCAGCTATGCTTGCTGTCTGCCTAGGAATTGGGTTTGGGAAGAGAGTTTGGCAAGGAAAATGCAGTGAACAGTTGAAAGGCCACTGTAGGTTCCTCTTTCTAGAACTTCCACTGCATTTAGTTATGTAGTCTTTGCTCTATTTTATATCGCCTCATAGCCTCTATTCAGTAGTTCTCCACCAGGGTCAATTTTGCCCCAGGGGACATTTGGCAAGGTCAAGAAATTTAGCCGTAGAGAAAGGAGATAGGACAACAGATAGAGGGGGATTCCGAGTTCAAAGTGGTGTTATTTTGTTTTGTTTTGTTGTCTTGTTTTGTTAAGACCGGGGAGATTTCAGCATGTTTAGGACCTGAAATTAATGAGGAAGAGAAGAAATAAT